TGTTAGCCAGGATGGTCTCGATCTCCTGACCTCGTGATCCGCCCGTCTCGGCCTCCCAAAGTGCTGGGATTACAGGCTTGAGCCACCGCGCCCGCCCCAGCTAATTTTTTGTAGCCGTATTGCCCAGGCTGAGCCCCAACTCTCAGGCTCAAGCAATCCTCCCGCTTCGGTCTGAGTGCTGGGATTACCCTGCACTCAGCCAAAAGCTGGTTGTGAAACAGTCAGCAGCACAGCACTGCTTCATACAATGAACAACACAGACTCCTGGCAGCTGCGCTTGTGCCAGGCTCTGAGCACTTTCTCCTTTCTGCCACCCCAGGAGATAGGGAGCATCTTTATCAATCCCACTTACAGATGAGGAAGCAGAGACCCAAGGAAGGGAGAAATGTCGCACGTTGAAGGTCACACAGCAAATTAGTGGCAGGGCTACGATTCGAATTCAAGTGCTCCCAAGTTCCCAAACTTGGACCCTCTCTCAACCACTGTGGTTTCCTGTCTCCAAATAATAATAGCAGCAACCTCAGGCTGCTACTATTTTTATTTGTCAATTCGTTTATATTTATTTGTTATTTTAATTTGTTACTACTAACAAATCAATGAGACTCTGTGAGTAAAGTGCTTCACAGGGGACCAGATTCAAAATTCGTATGTGGGAACATTATTATTACTATTTGGCAAATATGGCCCGAGGAGTCTCAGGGACAGTTGCAGAGAGGGAGGAGTTCCAGGGTAGTGTTCTGGAAGTATTGTGATCCCAGGGACGCTGCAGGGTGAAAGTGGGGGTCTTGGGGGTGGGCTAGAGGGGCTGAGCGCCGCCAATCCCTTCCCTGCATTGGCGCTGAGAGCTGCAGTTCTACCATGCACCACACGGGGGCAGCCGATCACCTCCCTACACGCGCCCCACACACACCAGGGTCCACCCCTGCCCTCCCTTTCCCAACAGCGTCCCCACCCGATTTCCCAGATGCTCAGGGACTGAGGCTTACTGAGAGGGAGGCTGCAAAGTGGATGAACCTTGAAAACAGCATGTTTAGCAAAAGAAGTCAGACGCAAAAGATCACTTATTGTATGCTTCCATTCATATGAAATATTCAGAGTTGGCAAATCCATAGACAGAAAGTAGATTAATGGTTGCCAGGGGTTGCCAGAGGGGGAATGAGAAGTGACTGCTGATGGCTACCAGGTTTCTTTTTGGGGTGATGAGAATGTTCTGGAATTAGATAGTGGTGACGCTTGCTGCAGCCTTGTGAATATACTAAAACCTACCGGACTCTGTTTGAAAAGGGCGAATCTTAGGTATGTGAATTGTATTTCAATAAAATAAAAAAAAAATTTTTTTTTGAGACGGAGTCTCGTTCAGTTGCCCAGGCTGGAGTGCAGTGGTGCGTGTTAGCCAGGATGGTCTCGATCTCCTGACCTCGTGATCCGCCTGCCTTGGCCTCCCAAAGTGCCGGGATTTTTAGTAGAGGTGGGGTTTCATCAGGTTGACCAGGCTGGTCTCAAACTTCTGACCTCAAGTGATCCAGCCGCCTTAGCCTCCCAAAGTGCTGGGATTACAGGCATGAGCCACTGCAACCAGCCTAGTTTTATTTATTGAAAAAAAAAAAAAAAAGTTTTTTTTTTTTAATTTTTGAGACAGTCTCTCTCTGTCACCCAGGCTAGAGCACAGTGGTGAGATCATGGCTCACTGCAGCCTCCACCTCCCGGGATCAAATGATCCTCCCACTTCAGCTCCCTTAGTAGCTAGGACTACAGCGTGCCACCACGCCTGGCTAATTTAAAAAAAAAATTTTTTTGTAGAGATGGGATCTTGCTATGTTACCAGGCTGGTCTTGATCTCCTGGGCTCAAGCAATCCCCCTGCCTTGGCCTCCCAAAGTGCTGGGATTACAGGCATGACCCACCACACATGGCCCTAGTCTTTTAAAGTAACCCTGACACTCATACCCAGCTCCACCCAGCACCAGCTCCAGCCCCAGCCCTCACTTCACTTGGCATCTCCAACTCTAGCCGGAAGTCCATCTCCAAACCCACCTCCAACCCTCAGCTTCAGTCTGTCCCCACCGATGCATTCATTTAAATTTCATTTAAATCTTGACTGCTGGCCGGGCGCGGTGGCTCAAGCCTGTAATCCCAGCACTTTGGGAGGCCGAGACGGGCGGATCACAAGGTCAGCAGATCGAGACCATCCTGGTTAACACGGTGAAACCCCGTCTCTACTAAAAAAAAAAAAAAAAAAAAAAACTAGCCGGGCGAGGTGGCAGGCGCCTGTAGTCCCAGCTACTCGGGAGGCTGAGCCAGGAGAATGGCGTAAACCCAGGAGGCGGAGCTTGCAGTGAGCTGAGATTCGTCCACTGCACTCCAGCCTGGGCGACAGAGCTAGACTCCGTCTCAAAAAAAAAAAAAAAAAAAAAAGTCTTGACTGCTGAGGGCCAGGCACGTAGCTAGGCTTATAAAGATGAACAGGATCAACAAAGTGAACTTTGCTGAGTTTATCTGCAAGGAATCCAGCTGCATCTGATAATTTCAGATTGTAGAAGGTGCAATAAAGAAATCGACAGACTGGGCACGGTGGCTCACGCCTCTAATCCCAGCACTTTGGGAAGCCGAGGCAGGAAGATGGCTTGAGGCCAGGAGTTTGAGACCAGCCTGGACAACATAGTGAGATCCCTGTCTCTACAAAAAATACAAAAATTAGCTGGGCGTGGTGGCGCATGTCTGTAGTCCCAGGTACTCAGGAGGTTGAGGTGGGAGGATCGTCTGAGTCTGAGAGATCCAGGCTGCAGTAAGCCATCATTACGCCACTGCACTCTAGCCTGGGCAACAGAGCGAGACTCTGTCTCAGGAAAAAAAAAAAAAGCAAAATAAATTGACAAAGCAGAGTGACGCCTCTGTGAGACGGGACCGTGGAGAACAGAGGAAGAGACCATGGGGCTGGAACTGGGATGATGCAAAGGAGGGCCCCATGCACAGACCTGGGTGCAGGAGCTTCTAGACAAAGAGAACCACAGTTCCAAAGCCATGCCCAGTGCCCTCCTCCATAGATCCCCCTCCCCAGCCCCTGGGCCCAGCAAAACTTCCCTCCTGGTCTTCAGCCCGTGGCAGGGAACTGTGGAGAGATGCTTGCCTGCCCCCAAGTTCTCATTCCAAGTCCTCGGGGCTTGCCCATGCTGGAGAGCAGCTCTGGGCTGGCGTCCAGCTTGGGGTGTCTCCCTGGGGCGCCCAGGATGGTGTTGTCACCTCAGGAGGCGTGAAGAGCATGCAGGCGTGGGCGGATTCCGGCCTGGAGCGGGGGTGAGGGTGGGGGCCCGGCTGTGGGCCTCGGCCTTCCCAGCCCAACCGCAGCCTGGCCTAAAAGGGCAGACAGATAATGAGTCCTTCCCGCCCCTGGCCCAGAGAGGGAGGGGTTTCCTGACAGGAAATTGTCCTCCTCCGAGCACCCCCCCAACTCAGATCCAAGCTCTCAGCAGTCCTGGCTGAAGTAGCCTGGGGACAGGACAGCAGCGGGAACAGAAGGACGGGCAGGAGGACAGAGGTGAGTGTGCTGGGGACAGGGGGAAGGGGTCCCACCTCCCACTGGGAGCCCTTCTGGGAAAAGAGTTGCCCTGAGTTGCACTGGACTAGAGCTGATGAGAACCTGTGCCTTGAACCCAGCAGGGGCCGGGGGGCAAGAGAGAATCTGGGGCCTGACCCCAGCGGGGTGCCGGCGAGAAGGCAGAAAGGAGATGAGAACAAGAGGAGGGTACAGGGGAGAATTTGAGGACTCGAAGGGTCCAGAGAGGGTGCAAGGGAGCACTGGAAACCTTGGCCACCAAGGGAGAAGAGAGATGAGACGACATTGGGTCGAACGTCCTGCGAGTCTGGGTGGGAAGACTGAGGCCAGGACGGATCAAGTGTTTGTTCTGTCCCAAAAGATGGGGTCTCGGAGATGGGAGACAGGGACCAGGTGGGGATTGACATCAAGCAGGAGAGACCGAGATCAGGTTGGGATTGGAGATGCGGATGACCTTGCAGTGGGCTGGGCTGATGACAGGATTGTGTTTGGGGTCAAGGACTGGTCTGGGGTTGCACTGGTTGGGGTTGGGCTTGGGGACACGCCATGCAGAAAGACTGTTCTCTAATGTAGACGCTGGCGTTAGAGGTGATGGATTCTGCAAACCGAGGTCAGGGCCGCTGCAGAAGGTTAGGAACTCCAGGGAAAAGGCTGGCAGTGAGGAAGAGGAGGAGGGGCTCAAAGAGGGAAGCTCTGGTGGCCAAGACATCCTGCGGGCCTGAGAGGCTGGGGGCTTGAGGGATGCCTCGGAAGTGAGTCAGGGGCTGGGCACTGGGAGGCAGACAGAGGGTTGGAGGGGGCAGGATGTCAGCACCAGTTTGCAGAGGCGGGTGTTGGAGCCAGGAAGGGGAAAGACGTCGGAGCCAGTTTTGGGAAAATGTTGCAGCCAGGTTTGGGGATGCTGGATCCAGATTGGGGGCGATATTGAAGCCAGGTGGGGGAAAGTCAGACGTCGTCTGGGCAAGGTTGACTTCAATTGGAGGGAAATTCAAGCCTGAAATTTTGAGAGGAAGATGGAGACAGCTATGGGGTGGAGGGGGGATGATGGAGCCATTTTGGGATGAGGCATGTGGATGCCAGTTCAGAGGATGAAAGAGAAATCAAGGATGGCTGTGGTGGCTCATGACTGTAATCCCAGCACTTTGGGAGGCTGAGGCAGGTGGATCGCTTGAGCTCAGGAGTTGGAGACCGGCCTAGGCAACAGGACGAAACCTCATCTCTACTAAAAATACAAAAATTAGCCAGGTGTGGTGACTCGCACTTGTAGTCCCAGCTACTCAGGAGGTTGAGGTGGGAGGATTGCTTGAGCCTGGGAAGCAGAGGTTGCAGTGAGCCGAGACCATGCCACTGCACTCCAACCTGGGCGACAGAGTGAGACTGTCTAAAATATAAAAGAGAAGGTCAGAGTGCAGTGGCTCACGCCTGTAATCCTAGCACTTCGGGAGGCTGAAGTGGGTGGATCACAAGGTCAGGAGTTTGAGACCAGCCTGGTCAATATGGTGAAACCTTGTCTCTACTAAAAATACAAAAATTAGCCAGGAGTGGTGGTGGGCACCTGTAATCCCAGCTACTTGGGAGCCTGAGGCAGGAGAAATCGCTTGAACCCAAGAGGTGGAGGTTGCAGTGAGCTGAAATCGTGCCATTGCACTCTAGCCTGGGTGACAGAATGAGACTCCATCTCAAAAAAATAAAATAAAATAAAAGAGAAATGAGCGTGCAAATAATGTGTGTGCATGGGGGGTATCTATTGCACATCCCTGGGGGCTCCAGGCAAGGGGTTGTCATGGTGACTGCCTCCTAGAGGGTGGGGGCCCATGGAGACTGGAAGGAGGTCCGAGAGCATTTCTAGGAACCGGAGGGTTGAGAAGCAGCAGCTCAGGGGTTGAAATGGGGGAGGAAAGAAGGGGCCTCTCCATCATGGAAAGGGGTGCTCTTACCCACAGCCTAGGCAACCCAGGCCTTTTGCACACCACCCTCTTTCCAGGCCTCCTGTCCACCCCCACACGTCTGCATAATCCTGACCGTGTCCCGACCTGCTCAGAACCCTGTCCTGGTGACAAACAAACTACAGGTCCAGCAATAGGAGAACAAGTGAACATCTGACCCTTTACGCAATTCATACAGTGGAATATTACATAGCACTTAAATGAACTGGAGCTGTATAGCTAGACATGGATAAATCTCACAAGTTCATAATGTGGGCAAAAAAATAAATTTTAAAGCAAGTTGCAAGATACAAATAGTATGATACCATTTATAGAGAGTCTGAAACCGTGTAAAACAGTATATTATTTCTGGATACAAGTCTATGGA